GGGTTGTAACTAAATGGGTTGTTTTGTTTTGTATGAAATTTGATATGTGAGTTTTGTAAATAGAACTCACGGCTTGTTATAATGTTATATTTTACTGCTGTATTATTTTGTGCTTCAAATCTTTGGTCATCTATAAAATGAAGAGGCATGCCCTATGAGATGAAATTTTTTGGTCATTTTGGGGGAGATATAATGAAAAAATAAAATAAAAATCAAACGCATTTTATGAATTTATGTTGTGTTATTTCGTGAGAGTAGATTTGGATTCATTGAATCTGAACTGTGAATATCATCCTCCTAAAAGGTAAACCCATTGCTTATAAGCTTAATATATGCTAGTGCTTACTTCCGCACCATCCTAAATAAAAGGTTAAATTTTCTCTAGTCTCCTGTACTAATTATTTCTTTCCTATAATACCTCAGTTCATTGAAATATTTTTATTTTTGTGTATTAAATGCTAAGAATTAAATAGCAGGGACGTTCTTGAAAAACTGGAACAAATTCTCTATATATTAATTGAAGTATGTTAACTATTTTTTAATTATACAAATTAGTTTTTAAAAAAAAACTTAATACATATATAGAGGATTGAAGAGAGAAGTTAAACGCCCGTTTAAAACGATTTATAAGTAATCTTTTAATTGTGATAATAGATTCATTGTTTATGATCTGATCTCAATATGTAAATATAAGTAACCGATAAATAAATCCAACTAAAACGTGTAATTGATAGTATGCTCAAACTGTCCTACATCACTGTTCAATGTTCATTTACCCTTTTTTTTTTTTTTCCCCCACCAACGTCTCTATTCATTTGCTACTTTTTTGTGCGCAGAGGGTATCAAATGAAGACAGAACGTAATTAAACAGTAGCAGGACTGTACAGTACCTTGTTAAAACCCTAAATATGAACTTAATGAAGGAATGGCTCCCCCCCCCCCCCAAATGTTAAGAATATTTTTGCACTTTGAAGTTTGTAAACAGTTAGATCGCGCATAGATAACTCTGCAATTAAGAAAACATTGTCAGTATTAAGATAATGACCGCTGTTGTCTCTTTTGAGAGTAACCCGGAGGGCCAAAATACTCTATTTTAATAAAAGAAAATAAAATTAGGGGCACCATATTTTAAAAAAAAAAAAGAAAAAGAAGAAGCTCCGTTACAAATATATTTTAGGGAAAAACGATGTTGTGAATAGTAATTATGTAATCTCAAATTTCATAAGATTCCTGCGTCATCTGAAACCTAATATCTAAAAGCTTTTGTAAAAATCATGAATCATATGGTTGGAAATTACAAAATTCCTATATTTATAACTCAACTTTCAATTTTTTGAAAAAATTACTGTAGTTTCAATCCATCTAGTTCTTAGATTTTTTGTTTTTTTAACCAGAGTTTGATCCTTCGACATTATTTATGAAATTTAAGATTGTGAAGTGCCATTGTTATTGCCATTAAGCTGTGATGGTGATGCATTGTGATGAAGTGTTCCAGTCAATTAAATTATGGGAGAGGTATGTGAGGGGCACCATGAAGGGTTCACAACAGCAGAATATGCCAAACACGACCTCAGTACCTAAATATACAAAATACTTAGGTCTACCCCATTAAACATTTCTTGTGTACCCACTTATATTTATCGAGAAAATTATCCATAAATTGCAGGTAAAGAAAATTAAATATAGAGAGGTTTCAAAATATCCACATTTACAAGTTAAATTTACATATTTATAAGTCAAATTTAACAATGTAACTTTACAAGTCATGTCACCAGAGGCCTTTGCAGCCTAGTAGTATGGAATATGGATGTTCTCTTTTAAGTGGAACATCGTGGGTTGATCCTACTTATAACCTTCAACTATTAAATTTTTTCCCGTTAATTTAAAAGAAACATTTATAAAACATATCTGAACTGAACTATTAACATGCTTGGTTTTGACATAGTCTGAACAAAATGTGAGTTTAATCAAAAGCCACTCTTAAACTAGCTTAATTAAACAGGCATGTCTCTTTCACCTAAAGGACTTGTAACTTAAAGGTGGTAATCATAAATTAATGAAGTGAGGAAGCATTGTTGAAGAGTCAAATAAATGTTCTTTTTGGGACCACTTTTAATTTAAAGTGGATGTTTGCACGACGGGGGTGGAACATTGCAAAAGTACTATCATTTGTATAATTGGCATCAAAGCAGTTGGATTTTTCATTCAATTGAATCCAGAAAAAAAAAAAAGCTTTAAAACATAATAGTCAAAGAATTGAAAGGGCATCAAGGAAGTCCAGATTTTGCCACAAGTAATATTTGCAAAATTTGGAGATAGAAAAAAAAAATCAATGTTGATAATAAAAATGATAAGCCGGGTAGGTAAAAAGTTCTGATAAAAAAGGTAAAATAATGATAAAAGACAAGAACTTCCATTTGAGGCCTGTGTGCTTAAAGGTGCGTATTTACTGGAAGTGCAAATCCCTCCCTCACAATGCACAAATCACTCTCCAAATGGCCATGGATGTTGGATTGTCATTAATTAGTGTCGTTTTCCCCTTCCATGAGAGAACCGCTGCTAGTTTCTTTTAGACTTTGTTTGGTTGGAGGGTTGTTGAGGGGAGGGGAGGGGAAAATAGAGGGAGGGAGGAAAATAGAGGGAGGGGAGAAATTTGTCTTTTAGTGCTCCCCTCCCCTCCCCATACTCCCCTCCAAATTTGGGGTTTTTTGAAGGGGAGAGAATATTATGTCTAATATTGACCAAACTATCCATACTAATTTTTTAATATTCCAAGTTGTCCATCTTATTAAAAATTTTTTCACTTCTTTCTTTTTAGCCACTAATAATATTTGATAATAATAATATAATATATAATTATATAATATATCATATCATATGTATTAATATTACATATCATAACATGTGTGTATTATAATTAATATTATATCGTGTGTGATTAAAAAAATAAATTAGTCTAAATATAGAGATAAGGTATTTGTCAATTTATAATTACCTCCCCTCCCCTCCCCTTATGAACCAAACAAGAAATCTCCCCTCCCTTCCCTCCCCTCCAACCAAACAAAACCATAACCTCCCTTCCCCTCCCCTCCCCTTCCTTTAATTAACTTCCCCTCCCCTCCCTTCCATTGAACCAAACAAAGCCTTATAAACCGCTTGGGATCTCCAAAAGCCCTTATTTAAGTAATTTGAAATAAAACTCTTTATATATACTTACTTACATTGTATTTCACAAATCATGGTTGAAATGGTAGTGACGATGAAGTTTGATAACTGATAAAGTTTGATAACATAAATAAGAATCCGTTTTAAAAATATTTTCATAAAATAAGCATATATGATATGAGGGCGATATGGTCATTTGGTCAAATTTCAAAATTTCTTTTGTTGAGGTGATTATTTGGTGCCTTTAAAATTGAGGTGTCATTTTATTATGAATTATGATTTTCCATTTCAACAATCAGACTGCTTTTTGCTAGAATAAAACAGTTAGACTACTTAAAGTTTATCTCACATTGAAATTATTTTCCAAATATCCTCTCAATCAAATGATTCTTAATTAATAACTTCTCTGATATAAAGAAAACTAGCAAAATCCAGAATTAGGGTTTTTTTGTTTTTTCCTTTGTTTGAAAAGGTTTTGTTTGTTTATCTGTCGGTGATTCTCTCTCTGGTTGCATCTTTCACACCAACCTGATCACTGTATATTTTTTTAAACAATGTGTTCCCTTGACATAATGACCCAAAAGATATCACATTTCTAATCTCTAATACTATTTTTGGTTCTTGACATGAAACTCAATTAGTTAATTAAAAAAATTTAAAAAAATCATAAGTTAGAAAAGAAAAAAATATAAATAATTTAAAATAATTTTTAACGTCTCCAACATTAGGCAATGGTTGGAGGTAATATTATGTTGTACTACTTCCAGTTATAATTATAGGAACTAGTTGACTAATTTGAAAAGATTAAAGAAAAAAATTAAGTTAGTTATTATAATAAATATGTGTTGTTTTTTTAAAATATTTTTGTTAATCAAGTATATTAGTTAGAACTACTACTGTTAGAAGGATTACTTTAAAAAATATATAAATATTAAAAATAAAATGAATTAGGATACCATAAAATAAAATTAAAATGAAACAAGTTTTTATATTAATCATTGAAACTAGTATTTTTTATTCAATGCGTTCGTGTTGTTTCGCTGCCGAGCCGTGAATCTGAGATCATTATGACTATTAGATGCTCTATGGGAATGATGAATCAGGGAATCCGATTATAAAATCCTCAATAAAGGCTTCTTCTTTAAACATCACAATCATTCAATTCTACCCAACAAGCCCCCAAACTCCTCCTTGGCTTTTGCCTTCTTTGTATTACCAGGTACCTTAACTGAAAGAGGAAGGAAAGTGAAACCAGAGCTGTCTCTTACCACACGGTTCTCTGTTTCTCTCTCTACGTACGGCCATTTCTTCTACCGGAAGCTTCGTATATCCGTTCATCATCTTGGTCCCATTACAATACTGATCGTTATTGGAGTGAGAGGGAAGGAGAAGAGTGTTACAGAGATGGATGTGGGGAGAAGAAGAGGTGGTGGGGCTAGAAGTAGTGTGGTGCCGGGGTCGGTGTGGGAGAGCAGGATGAAAAGTGACGAAGTAAAAGGGGGGATTAAGGTCTTTAATGGAGAAGAAAGTCCTGAAGAAGGAGGGGATGGTAGGAGCAGATTGAGAAGGATCTCAAATGGGAAGAGGAAGACCTGGAAATCGGAGAGCTCTGAGGGTTTCGATAGGAATCTAATTCATGTAGCTCGGCGAAGATCATCGGAGACACTCAAGAACTGCGATGAACTGAGCAAGGGCCTTAGTGTTTCTTTAGATGGAATTAAGAAGACCCCAATTCTTACCAGGAAAATTTCTTCCTCCGCGGAAAAAATCGAGGGAAGCCCCATTCTCATGAGAAAGCTAAGATCCACATCCGCTGAGGAACCGGAAACAAATTCGAAGCAGCTGAAGAAGTCGAAATCAGAATCTGTTAATCAAAATGTTGAGGATGTCGATGGGCTAGGTAACGGAGATGCGGAGAATTCAATTGTACCCAGGAAGGCGAAATTAGTACCGGACGAAGTTCTAGATGAATCTAAGAACAAGACTAATGGGGTTTGCAAGGATTTCGGTTTGTGCCAAGAAAAGAGCATTTCAAGCCGTTCAGTAAATGTAGGCAGGGTAAAAAATCCTCCTGAATTACCGGTGAAAGTTGATGGCGACATTATTCCTGATATTGACGACGAAGCAGATGAAAGAGTTGAAATAGATGAGGAGATGAAGATGGAGAAGGAGAATGTGAAGGAAATCAATGTTTCAGAGCTTAAGACTGTGAATGAACCACAACACAAGAAGGTTCTGATTCAAAGGCGATTTCAACATGATGAAAGGCCTGTGTCAATCCTTCGTACAGCGAGACAATCTTCCCCAATTAAAAGGCATTCTACAATTTACGACAATTTCAGGAAATCTCATTCAAGTATGTTCTTTCAGGTTTACATACATTTTTGTTCTTTCAATCTGTTTTTGGTGCTTCTGTGCTTGTCACTTGCAAGGCTGACTAATTCTTACTCTTGATTAGTTCCAACGGCTGAGAAGCACCATAGCTTTCCACATACCCAGAACAAGTTGCAGAGTCTAGGTGATGATCTATCTATATTTCACAACCATGGAAGTGGAACTTGTTAAAATTTCATTCAATTTCTGACAATTATTCTACGCATTTTTCACTTCTCAGTGGATTTAATCATGTGGAGAGAGGTCTCAAGATCAGCATTTGTCTTTGGGACTGGAACGTTCATCATAATCTCATCTTCTTACCCAAAGGATATCAATGTGAGGTCAGAAACAGAAGTTCACTGTACACAAAATTTATTTTAATGTTTCTTGTGATTACATATATTCCTGTTGTCTCAGAACAGAGCCCAGAACTGACATACTTTAATCGTTGATTCTACAGCTCTATTTCCGTGATGTCCTATCTTGGCCTTGCTCATCTCGCTGTCATCTTCCTTTACAGATCCTTCATCTGCAGGTAATAACCTAAAAGAAGAAATGATAGATGACAGAAATTTACGAATAAAATTCCATCTGACTCTCTTTGCTGGGGTTCAACTTCATAATCAGGGGAGTTATAAATTTTGATCGCACAAATCATGTATTGGGAGAGGAAGAAGCAATTTGGGTAATAAAACTGATTCTGCCTTATTTGAACGAGTTCCTGTTAAAACTCAGAGCCCTCTTTTCTGGTGATCCTGGTACCACCATGAAGGTAATTTTTACTATTATTAATTAAGACATGTTAATCCAAATTTGTTAGACGAGCGGTCGTTTAAATCGTCTATATCAACATAAAAACTATAATAAATATTCTGTTTATGAGTCATGAATAGTCTAATTTATTTCTTTGAAATTTTTTTGTGGAAATTGAATCTAGATAGTTTGAGTTGATTGAATTTATTTTATTAAAAATAATATATTTTGTCATATTATACTTGATTTTTATTTTATTCTGTTATTATATTGAGCTTAAATTTCGATGTAATTATTAAGAGTATTCTCCAAAAAAAAAATTTCTTGGGAAGAAATTACAGTTAAAGACCTCAGGTTACAAATATTCTTATTGAAGGACTTTAAAATTTAAAATTACTCAAAATCTTGGATTAAAAAATTTTTAGTTTGAAATCGTAAACTGTAAATTTCTTGCACGGTTTAAATTTTTGTCTTTATACAGTAATTTGCAGCCTACACTCCTCAGCTCAAGTGTAATTTTTCTAATATTGTACAATGAATTACAGATGGCAGTTTTGCTCTTTGTTTTAGCCAGATGGGGCAGCTCCATAACTATTTGGAAGATGGCCAAATTCGGTAAATTTCCATGAACCTGCAAATTTCGCTGGATAGAGTTCATAGCTTCATGCAGAATATAAGTGCTTACTACTACTTAATTAAGTTAATGTTGTGGGGGTGCCTAAGCCTATTCCCATAGACTCTCTGCTCTATTTGACTTCATCTGTAAGCAAAAAGAAAATGAATCTCACAAGTATTTCACTCGGTTACGCAAAGTTGCTTTTTCTTTTTTCATCGCTTGCACTGCCATACTGACATATGCTTATTTTGTTTTGCTCTCTGCCTCAGGCTTCTTTGTTGTCTTTATGGCGCCAAAGCTTTACTCTCTCTATTCTGCACAGTTAGCTTCATACGGTAAGCCCCTGACTGAATATAATGTACCTCTGATGTCAAATTATTTAATGCAAGATATTGATTTCTAACTCTATAACTTTAAGTTGTAAAAAGACACAACACATTACTGTCACCAGTGCTTCATTGTGCATAATGTACTGTCTGACTCTTCAGTGTACTGGTTCTTCTTTCTTAGGCCCACAGCAAAGCCGTTTTGTCTGTATCTATCTATCCATGTCGGCAGTTCTGAGTTTCTCTATAAACATAAAAAAAAATCTTCTATTCCTACAGTGGGACTATTTTGATTGAAGAACATGTAATAATGTTTCCGAATAATGATGATTGGGGATTATATTTATAAGTAGGTAGTTTTGGTGATGATGATGATGATCAATGGAGAAACGTAAATTTGTGCAGCAAATTCTTGGGTGAAGCGAGTGAGGGAAGGTTGGGATTCATGTAGTCACAAGAAAGCAGCGGGTATCGGCATCTTTGGCCTTGTGTGGAATCTGTCATCAGTCGTTGTTCGCATCTGGGCAGGTAAGAGCACAAGAACTCCCTCTAATGTAATTTAAGCACTCTGACGTTCAAATGATGCTTAAATGATAGAAAGACTTAACAAAAGGTATAAAAGTGTGTTTGTGACTCATTTGATCTCTGTAATAATTTTTAGAGATCCAAATCTGACATCACACTGCATTTCAGGCGTATCTAAGAATCAAAAGCTCTGAGTACAAAGGGAGGCAAATGAATGTGTGAACTTGACTTACAACTTCAATTATGCAATCATACCGGCATTAATATACCGGTCATCTGACTTGTGACTTTAATGCATATCATGAAGTCTCCTTTATTTTGTTTAGGTTGTAAGAAATGGTTGATTGTGATGAGTAGATGATTTAGTATCCTCTGCTTGTTGTATCCATTAGCTTTGAGTGAGTAATGGATTGATATTATGAATTTTGCAGTTTTTCTGCTAATAGTAGCATTAAGATATTATCAAGAAAATCAAATGGGAAGAGATGAATGGGGGGAGGAAGAAGAAGAAGAAGCAGCATGTGAAGAAGAAGTTGGAGTTGGAGGGCATGGACCCACTTTTCTTCAAACAAATAAACCCAAGAAAGCATTTTAAGGGCAATCCATGGCGGAGTTGGTCCCACATTTTGAATGTGGTGTTCCAATCTCAGGTACTTCATTCAACCATGATAGCAGGATCTGAATCTCTCACAGCTTCTGATAGTGATAAGTGATAGCAACTCACAGTGTTTTCTTTTCCCGCTGTAAATTTTTGTTAGTTAGAGGGTTATTTTGGGTAAGGAAATAAGGAGACGTTATATTATATTCTTTTATCATAAAGAATGTTGTTCCGTGGTAACTGCTTAATTATATTAACTTATTAAATAGCTTCCAAAAGCGAATTCAATTTTCTGATCATCAGTTTATAACGAGATGGATATTAACATATGTGAAAAATATTGTTTTTATGTTAACCAATATTTAACAATTTAATTATTATTATGTCATAATTAAGTAATATGGTACTGCAATGAGTGTTTTAGAATTTAGACGCCTGTATCTGTCAAAACTGAAACCTATAAATATGATATCCGTATTTTTTGTATATATAATTAATTTTTCTTATAAGTTATATGTAATTAATTGATGAACGCAACAATTCAACCTTTTCATTTTCACTAGATTTTTGCCTGAAGGTGTTTTTTTTTTTTTTTGGACCAGAAGAAGGAGTTGTTGATGTTAGTAGTTTTTGAAACGAAAATAACCATCCATATTCAATCATGTTAATAATTAGTTTGTTTTGGAAAGTAGTAAGCATCAAATGGGGAGATTAATTTATTAAACGAAATGAAAATAGATTGATTTAGTGCGTTGCCAAAAAAGAAAATAGATTGATTCAGTAATATTACATGTATACACACAAATATCTATAAAGATAGGATTAGATTTCCCTTTTATTTTTATTTTTTTTTGGTATTCTTTTTTTGTGCTCACAATATTCTTCCACTCAAATGATAATAGACTAATCTTTCAAGATATTATCAAGCGCCATAGTAGAGGCCCTTCCCAACAGTGTTTGTTCCATACACACCATTCTAAAGATCGAACCTAAGATATGATATTTAAGGTGCACAAATCCTTTTTATTTGGATCAACACTTGTTGATTTCTCTTTTATTTTTATGTTCAACAATTTTGTCTTCCAAACGTTAAGTGTCATTACCAGCACCATGGTTTCGAACAAAAAATAAAACAGCAAGTATGGGCTGGACAGTGTGAACAAGTGAATGTAAATCCGCCCATTAAACATTACTGAACATGCTACCGTTTCTGAATAATAAAATCAATTATTTGATAATCACTATTTTTTTTTAATTTAATAACCATCACTAATGACTAATGCACTGAAAACATTAAAATTTTGCTCTATTTAAATTTAAATTTAAATTTCAAACTAGTCCTAATTATCAATTTTGAACAAATTAATAAACAGATTGCGATTAGACATTTGGCGCAAAAAAAGAAAACACATCCACCGTCCCGCCCTAGCCACCGAAGACGGAGAGAGGCCCAGAGACCAGATCGGCGATTCAGAGCCACCCCCCGATTTCTGCAATTTAGGGCATTCAACTCATCCATTTCACGCCTTCGGCAACTCGATAGGTATGGGTTCTCTTTTCTCTCTCTTTCTTGAGATTTCTGACTTTCCCACCCTAACTAGAAACTTCTCATCCCTCAGCCTCGTCCCTATCCTCGCCGCCGCCCACCTTCCTCACCATCGCTCTCTGCGATTGTATTGGTCGTCCTTAGTTCTGGCAGAGCACAAGTGGAGAACCTTGGCACCTCCTCTCCAGTAATCATCCAGTGGTCTCGTCCTTCACCTCGTCGTCCTCGCAGTCGCAGCCCCCTCTGCTCGTCTTCGCCGTGGTTGGTACTGACAAAGGTGAACTCCAAATCCTCGTCTTCACCGTTCTCACCGTCGCTCACAGTCGTTGGAGGTAATGTTCCATTCTTCCATAATGCTCACTGATTTAAACTTCTCAATGATGAATGTTCGTTGAATTAGGATTCTTGTTGGTTTAGAATGTGCAGGATATGTATAACACATTGTGAATAAAGGTTCACACCTTCGAGCATAATACTCACCTTGAATTCTGAATTTCACTTGCTAATTTGGTTTATTGGGTGGGTATGACTCAGATGAGTCTTGTGACGGATTCTCCAGTAAATTCTTCCAGCAGTGATGACTTTATTGCGTATCTGGATTCTGCGCTAGATGCAAGTTCACCAGATGCTACGCAATTGAGTAAAGAAGCTGAGAATCAAGATGAATCTGAGACTATCAGGTGCTATTTACAGTCTGTTTCATGTTGCTATTTGTGATACTGGAATGAGTTGTTGTTTAGCTTTGTCCAATTTTATTTAGAGTACTGTGGCAATTTGGACCTTATTTCATGGTTTTCTACTTGCAAGCTGTTTCATTTTGTTATATGTGATACTGATCATCTATGTGCATGGTGATTATTCTTTTTTAATACTCCTGGCTTTTTAGGGAGATAATGATATTAAAGACAAAGCTTAATAAAGTTTCTTGACTGTATGCTATTAGGTTTTCTTCTCCAATGAAAACCTAATATTGTGATACCAATCGCATTGTTGTTTGTTATGTTTTTATTATAGAACCTGATAACAAGTATCCAAAATAGTTTCTCCTAAGTTTTGTCCTGGTGTCAATTTTCTGGTTTTTCTATTTTACGTTTTTGTCAAATTACATTGATTTCTGCTTCAATTCATAAGTTTATAAACTGATGCAGAATTAAAAGACGTAAAGTTGAAGGCATAGGGGAGGCTGGGGGGTCTACTTCACAAGGATTCGTGGAGGAGAGTTTAGGTGAGTTTGATGGTCTTATTTGTTCTGTTCATTTACTTTGCTGAGCCCAGAATCCTTCTCATTGTAAGCACAATAAAATCTGACCTCCTGGAGTTTTTCTGTGCGTTACTTTTAGATTACAACTTGGTCACTTTTGCTCAGAAATCTTATGACTTGGAGGTTTTTTCCCTTTTTTGTTGATTGTTGTCACAGAGGTGACTGTGAAGGAAGATGCATGTACACATCCTGGTTCGTTTGGAGATATGTGTATACGTTGTGGACAGAAACTAGATGGGGAAGCTGGCGTGACATTTGGGTACATACATAAGGTATGGATAATCTAAATTTTACTTTTTAGGGTGAAATGTTGCTACACTGAACAAATTGTTATTGTTGATCATGACAAAATTTCATGATTTGATTAGCCGATGGTTATGGCTTGTGATTAACATTCAAGGGAAAGTCTATCTAACCGGTCTTAGTTGAACTGTCATTCATTGATCAATAACTATGGTGGAAATTTTTTTTGAATTTACAGGGATTGAGACTTTATAATGACGAAATTTCTAGATTGCGCAATACAGACATGAAGAATTTATTGCGCCATAAAAAGCTGTACTTAGTTCTTGATTTGGATCACACTTTGCTGAACTCTACTCAGCTTGTTGATTTGAACTCAGAAGAGGTGTATTTACTGAACCAGGCAGATTCTCTGGCAGGTTATTATGTTGACTGTGTTCTTGCCTCTGACAACTATTGTTTATATTATTTGTATATACTGGTTTTATCTATGCATGATGAAGAATTTTCTTTTTCTTCTGCCTTTACTGTTTCTATTGAGTATCAAGCAATCTACCTTGCTGGTTGTATTTCTCATTATAACATTGAAGAAGCCTTGATATATTTCAGCCATTTTATTTGTTGGTGACCTTGATATTGCTAGGACAGAATGGTAGAAGAACGAATGTGCCGTTTTTAATTTAGGTGCTGAGTGCATTGAGATCAATATACTCATCCAGTCTGTGTACAATTCTGATAATTGTATCACTTTGAAAAATTTTGTCCAATAAGCTTGGTGAGCGATCAGAAACTGAGGACACCATTTTTTATTGAGACCTGAGGGTATTTCTCCCATACAGATGATAATTGGCATCCATCACATAGAAAAACAAAACTTATGAATATTCATTAGCATGTTATACTGAATTTGTAGTTTGATAAAGTGGGATGCGCCAAATTTGTGAACATCTTAATTGTGTAAATTTATCTTTTGACACCCTTCCATTATTTCATTTCATCTTGTGTCCCAGTCTTTTCATCACTTTTTATATTTTGTTTTTCATATATCTTGCCTTTCTGAATCTTGGCATGATGAAATGAATAGATGTGTCTAAAGGCAGCCTCTTCAAGTTGGATTATATGCATATGATGACCAAGTTGAGGCCTTTTGTGCGCACATTTCTAAAAGAAGCGAGTGAGATGTTTGAAATGTACATATATACCATGGGTGATCGGGCCTATGCATTAGAGATGGCTAAACTGCTTGATCCAAAGGGAGAATATTTCCATTCTAAGGTGATTTCTCGAGACGATGGCACTCAAAAGCATCAGAAGGGTCTTGATATTGTCCTGGGGCAAGAAACTGCCGTTCTTATTCTTGATGATACAGAAAATGTGAGTGTATTCCAATTCACTTGCAATTTTGATTTGTTTAATTGTCATGTTTTAATGAATGGGTGGTTGTCCTTTATTGAATGTTTTACTTGTTTTATAATTAATTAATCTAATCAATGACAGAACCAAAAAGAAGAGGGAAATGCCCTTTTATGCTATAGTATACTGCTGTTTTTTTGGTGTAAAACTATCTTATAATCTTAAGGGAAAATTTTTACTACTTGCAGGCATGGATGAAGCATAAGGACAATCTTATACTGATGGAAAGATATCATTTCTTCGCTTCGAGTTGTCGACAGTTTGGTTTCAATTGCCAATCTCTCACCGAGTCGAAGAGTGATGAATGTGAATCTGATGGGGCACTTGCAAGAATTCTCAACGTGCTCAAGCAAGCCCATCACACGTTCTTTGAGGTATGTTACTCATTCTGTCAATGTGTGGTAATTTCTGATCTATGCTGAACTATTGGAGCTGGGATCCTTTTGTAGGAACTTAAAGATGATCTTGCAGACCGAGATGTGAGGCAGGTAGTTTATGTCGTTCCCATAAGTGGGTTGTGCCTTCTACATTTTGATGGTGGAAACTAATTTAATTTAGAAATTCTTTCAGGTTTTGAGAACTCTTAAGGGTGAAGTATTGAAGGGATGTGTGCTCGTATTCAGCCGGATAGTTCATGCCATGTTACCGGCTCTTCGGAAGATGGCAGAACAGATGGGGGCCACATGTTTGACAGAAGTTGACTCCTCAGTGACACACGTGGTTGCAACTGATGCGGGGACAGAGAAGGCGCGTTGGGCAGTGAAGGAGAACAAGTTTTTGGTTCATCCAAGATGGATAGAGGCTGCAAATTATTTTTGGCAGAAGCAGCCTGAGGATAACTTCACCCTCAAAAAGAAGCAATAGGGGCCTTCTTTTCCACTCTGTTAAACTGTTTTTTCTTGTAGTTTGCTTAGATGTTATTATAGCAACCCCAGGTTTTGATCTAATTGTTAACAAATTAACATTTATCAATCCACTGAATACCACACGTAGCTAGTGGGGATGTTAACGGAGTCAATGCAGTATTTTCTTGTGGGAAGATGTATGCTGATTAATCATGCTTATTTTTGTAGATGTCTTTCTTTAACAAAACTTGGTTCAACCTTCAGCCCAATTAAAGTCTAGTTGGCCCCAAACATTCTGTCGACTGGATTGAGTGGGGTCCCATAATTGGTCTGTGTTGGGCATTAGCGTGTTGGTTTGGTAGCTTAGGTTGACTTGATTTCACTATGGTTGAGTATTACGAGGTTCAACACATTAAGATTTTATGTTGAGCTTTGAGGATATAAAATACTATATTGGGGAAGTTGAATCCGAAATTGAATCATATAATGATTTGTTTTTGAAAGCAAAATTCTAGTGATTTTAAGAAATTATTTATAAAAAAAAAAAGTTGAAATACATGCTTTTACCACTTGGTGAAATACGTACTATAATCTGCCATATCCTCGTTCCCATCACATCTAATTTTTAATATTGTTCTAAATATTTTTGTAGTTTCTTTAATATTGAAAACGTCGATTTAAAATTTATTTACATGAGCAGATCGCGAATTCACTTAAAGGATATCGAAATGTCAATCAATATGTAATTAAATCCTAAATTATATATATATATCCCACTTGGCAAAATGATGATGATGGCATAAGATCTTTTTATTGGTTGCTATTGTTTCTTAATTAAAAGTCATTATTTCAATCTCTTAATCTAAGTACACGATTCTCATTTACCTCAATTTTAGGAAAAACAATTCTTGAGATGCCTATAGTTTTCTTTAATTTTTAATTTGGTATCCAAGTGTTTTTTTCCCTCCTTATTAAATTATTTAATTTTACTCTTTTAACATCATTAATCTCTTCTATTATGACAAAAGGAAAACACTATTAATCTCTATAACTTTACTCTATTAGATTTATTAGACCGTGTACAAAGCCTAATTTTGTTAACAAAGTAAAATTAAATGATTTAATATAGAGGAGAAAACCCATAAGGACTAAATTAAAAATCGAAGAAAACTATAGTTTATTATTCTACTTCAACTTCTTCCCCTCATCATTAGATTATACACTCATTCTTATTATTATAAATTAGATGATGAATCTCGCGGAGTCTAAAAAGAATAAATTGCATAATACTACCTCCGGTCCTAATTATAAGATTCTGTTTGTAATCTATAAATGGGGTTTTATAATTAGGACTGGAGATAGCATATTTGAGATGATGTTTCTATATATACTAATATATTGATTTATATTGATTCCTTTGATCTTAGCCATATTCAAAAATATTTTTTATAACAAATTATTAATTAATAAAGTAACCATCAACTTTGGAAGCATTTCTCAATTTTCCTTATATATATATATATATATATATATTTCCAAGCGCATGCTCTAGAAAATTTGAGAGAATTATGGTGTTGTCATTTTCAATCTCTTAAAACGTATTATATATATATATATCAATACTATATATATTTTTATTATTAGCATATATAAAAAATAGTGGAGACCATCACTTCTCATGTTTCTTTGTCTTTCAATTTAAATAATATTTATTGACCATCACATTTTATAATGCATGTTCATTACAAATATTGATACATATGAGCTACTCATTTTGAATTTTAGAACATATTGATCCGTCCCTAATGAGTTGGGATGGGTCGGAATATTTAATAAGGTTATATACATGATTAAATATAACATAAATTAAATAAAAAAAATTTAATTCATACTACTTCCGGTCCTAATTATAAGAGCCAGTTGACTAGTTTGACGAGATTAAGGAAGTAAGTTGAGTTAGTTATTTGTCCTAAATAGGTGTTGTCTTTCCTAAAATATCCTTATTAATCAAATACATTGACTAGAACTATCATTATTAGAAGGACTACTTTGAAAAAAATATATATAAATATGAGAGACAAAGTGGATTGGAGTCTTATATTTAAGACCAAAATAAAAGTCAAATAGGGTCTTATATTAAGGACCGGTAGTATTATTCTTATACATATGGTAATGCATATGGATTAAATAAGCATTTAATCATTAGAGAGCTTATATCTATTGATGGGATATTGCGAATATTTTGCTTTCTCAAAGCATGTCTGCCCATCACTACTATATAAAGGGCTTCCCACTTGAAAAATGCTTAATTAGACTCTAGTAGTCTAAACTTTAGGTGAGTTCTTAAAATCCGACCAGAGATCCTACTGGGCAGTCTTTTCATATTTGTTTCGTTCCATTCAGATGATTCTCGTGGCAGATTCTGCAGTAAATTTATCCAGCAGCGATGACTTTATTGCATATCTGGATTCTGCGCTCGATGCAAGTTCGCCATCATGTAATAAAGACGTTGGGAGTCATTATGAGTCTCAGACTATCAGGTTGCTAAATAAATCTAAGAGACATAGGGTTTAAGAGCTCTTGTTTTCACAATATATTTAACCAAAAATTCTGCGCTATATAAAACTCGTCGAATAATGAGTTAGGGTTTCTTATGGCCGTCTATATTCAATAAAATTTATTATTTAGTCAATTATATTAAAGACAAAACTTAGTAAAGTTTCTTGACTGTATCAATTTTATGGTTTTTAAATTTTCAGATTTATAAATTACTACCTCCAGTCCTAATTATATCATTTGTAATTTATAAATGATATCTTATAATTAGAATCGGAAGCACTATCACAGAATTAAAAGACGTAGAGTTGAAGGCAGAGAGACGATCCACGGGCCTACTTCACAAGGATTTGGGGAAGAGAGTTTGGGTGAGTTTGATGGCCCTTACTTGTTGTCTTCATTTACCTTGCTTGCTGAGCCCAGAATCGTTCTCATAGCTTTTCTATGCATTACCTCTATTTCTAGAAAGAAATATTATATTAACTTCTAAGAAATATGTATTAACTTTACATATATTGCTTCTTTTTTTTGTGCATCTAAAGCACCCCTCAAACTATTTTAATCAAATATTCATATCGTTTATGTTGTGCGCGAGATCCTCCTTCTTTTAGACCCATTCACTAACCTAAGAATATGAGATAATTTAGATACATTTGAATCTTCTCTTGAGCAACGTGAGATTTTACTTTTGACACACCCACCTGTATTCACAACAATTTTCATCACTTTTTTTAAAATATATGTCGCCTTTCTAAATCATTGCATGATGAAATGAATAGATGTGTCTAAAGGCAGCCTCTTCAAGTTGGATTATATGCATATGATGACCAAGTTGAGGCCTTTTGTGCGCACATTTCTAAAAGAAGCGAGTGAGATGTTTGAAATGTGCATATATACCATGGGTGATCGGGCCTACGCATTAGAGATGGCTAAGCTGCTTGATCCAAAGGGACAATATTTCCATTCTAAGGTGATTTCTCTGGGATGATGGCACTCTAAAGCATCAAAAGGGTCTTAATATTGTCTTGGGCCAAGAAAGTGGTGCTCTCATTCTTGATGATACAGAAAATGCAAGTTCATTTCAATTCACTCCCAATTTTGAGTTGGTTAGTTGGTTTTTACGGGGTAAAACTATTTTTCTATCTACATGAAAATCGTCTACTACTTGCAGGCATGGATGAAACATAAGGATAATTTGATACTGATGGAAAGATATCATTTTTTTGCTTCAAGTTGGCGGCAGTTTGGTTTCAATTGCCGATCTCTTGCTGAGTCAAGGAGTGATGAATGTGAATCTGATGGAGTACTCGCAAGAATTCTTAATGTTCTCAAGCAAGCTCATCATACATCCTTTGATGTATGTCACTTTCATTCTTTAAATCTTTGGTAATTTCCGATCTATGCTGAACTGGGTTTAGCTGGGGATCCTTTTGTAAGAACTTAAAGAAGATCTTCCAGACCGAGATGTGAGGCAGGTAATTCATGTTTGTTCCTATTTAACTGTGTTTTGCCTTTTAGATTTCGATGGTGGAGATTCTTTTAACTTAAAAATTCTTTCAGGTTTTGAGAACTCTTAAAAGTGATGTCTTGAAGGGATGCGTGCTCGTATTCAGTCGAATTGTTCATGTTATGTTACCGGCTCTTCAGAAGATAGCAGAACAGATGGGTGCCATATGTTTGACAGAAGTTGCCTTCTCAGTGACACGTGTGGTTGGACCTGACGTGGGAACAGAGAAGGCACGTTGAGCAGTGAAGGAGGACAAGTTTTTGGCTCATTCCAGAGGCTGCAATTATTTATGGCAGAAGCAGCCTGAGAATAACTTCTCCCTCAAGAAAAAGCCATTGGGGGCCGTCTTTTCCAATGTATTAAACTGTTTTTTTTTTTTTTGGGTCGTTGTTGATGTAGTTTGCTTGTAACTTTGATCCCTCAGACTTAACAACCAATTGTTAACAACTTAACATTCATCAATCCCACTAAATCCTATTATACATAGCTAATAGGGAGGTTAATTGAGTCAATATAATATATTATGTGAGAAATAAACGGTGATGGGTCCTATAAAAATATTTTGAATTCAATTATATACATAATGTCCATTGTGTGAATATGATATTTTCTTAGGGGAAGCTGCATGTTGATCAAATTATGTTTGTTTTTATTTAGCCAATGGCTTTATCTTAATGACATGAAAATTTTCTAATAAATGTAAAGCCATGAGTTTGATTCCAAAAAAATCGTACTAGATAGAGTATTTGGGTTCAAATTTACACCATGTGGGCCTAAGCTAGGGTTGACCTGGCCCAAAATTTTAGATTGGGTTGGGCTAGGCCATAGGATTCTTAAAATGAAAATTAGGCAAACTAAATCTGGAGCCAGCCTTAATTTGTCTCAAGAATTAACTCAGTCCAATCAGAAACAGACGAAAGAAGATCAAATTGCCGTTGTTTTCTTTTTTTTTGGGCATTAATACCGCTTGCCACCGTAGTATGTAGATTTAATTCCACTATTTTTTAGGCTTTATTGAGTTTTATCCACAGCCACAAAGTCACATGTATCTATTAACCAATTTTGTTGTCTCAAGTGATGTGTGTGGGTGTGAAGAGTTGCTGTCTGGATTTGTTCAGTTATACATCCCTTTCCATTGTTGAAATGGTCCTATAACATCCCAAGAATTTAAAGGTATCTTGGTTTGCTTTATTTGTATGTCTTTTCTTTGTTATCATCTCAAATTAAAACTTCGAGCTGAGATATTACCTCCTGAAAATGATAAACAATATTTTTCTTTGAAAATATTAGTGAAGAGTTCCTGTTTGAAAATTTTATTAGCTACAATGATCTGAATTGGAGTACTAGTTTTTTTTTTTAATATGAAATCTTGCATAATACCAATATTTTCTATGTATAAAAACACATTAGGTTCTTTTGACTAATAAAATTTTTAAATGAGATTGTTTTTCTACCCATTTTATCAGTTTTCAGGGTAAAAAAAAAAGGAGTATTTGAGCTAATAATATCGTTGCCGTTGTAGGATCAAATAGTGACGGAAGGTTTGATAATAAGCTTTTTTTAAAACAATAAAATGTGAAAAGTGGTTCAAGTGAATTCGTGTAAAACACTAACATGATTTTACTACTATTTATAGAAGTTCTTGTATACATCTGATTGTTTCATATATTCCATATTTCTTATGTTTTTTATTTTCAAAAACTTGTCTTGTTTTAGAAATCCAAAGTAAGGTATGATTAATTTTTTCAAAAAAAAAAAATTATAGCCTCATTTAGTAATCATATATTTCTTATTATCTGTTTTTTTTTTCACCTTTTACAGTTTCTTATGTTTATTTCATTTTCCATTATCTCCTTTAAATTAAGAGATGCAATTAGAGCATGTTATTTTAGTCAGTAATATAACACAACATTTTATATTTATTAAGGATTCCTTAATCTCTATGTCCTGAGTCATAACCTGAAAGAACACACACACACACAATTATAAAGATTCCTTTAATTCTCTTTTGAAGCTTTTGCTTTAGGCCGTCAATTCTCTTTCTAACTTTATGTCACACAAAATTGAAAGAATAGAGACATGTGTGCATATTGAATAATCAGACAGCCAATTATGTTTATTAATGTTTAATTTGAAACCATTCATATTAAACGGAGAATATTAGCCACTGTTTTTTCATCAATTTCTTTTTATTTTAATTAATTAGAGTATTTTCTATGACTGGAAATTGGTAAGTAAAAATTGGTTCGACTGATGAAGATGTGACAAGTGGTGGAGCATGGACCAGCAGCTGCAAGTAATGATAAAGAGATTGAAATCTCACCAAAACCACCCAAACTATTCAAAAATGCAAACTAATAATAAAAATAATATCTCTTCATTAATTCATTGCTAATTAATGACCTCAATTTTAAGCAATCATTAATTAATTAAAGCATGCGTTTTAACCGTGACTAAATTGTGGCGTGAGAAAAATGTGCTGGGATGATTACAGAAATGAAATGCAATAATATTTTATCATATTGCATGTTTCTCCACCATTTCAATTCCCATAAATAATTCTTGGTAACCAGTTTTATTTTCATTATATGATTCTCATACTGCTATATTTTTTTTCATGTTATAATTACTCGTTGGAATATCCTGAGAGAATTAAATATAAATTTTAAAAATAGAAGAAAGATTTTTGTAATTAAGATAAAAATGAAAGGAATATAAATGTATTCTACTCAATGTATATGCACGTTGATATTTTTTACAATAGTACTCAGAATCTAGGGTTTTCACTGATCTCAAGGTGGGATTATTGTGGGCAGCAGGTTTTCCCAACAAGTATTTAATGTAAATGTATACTTAGAATTTGAACATAAAACTTCTAATTAAACTAATACAACCCGCTTCCCAACTTAGCCATTCATGTTCAATATATTTTGCTTTTCTTTCTCCTTTTTTTTTTTTTGCAATAGTACTTAGCATGCATTAAGAGTTCTGTCTCAGCCGAGTAAAACTTTTGCAGGCAGCAAGCTCTCCCAACAAATATTTAACACAACTGCATAAATAAGCCTTGGACATGAGACATCTGATTAATAAGCTAGCTCTATACCAACTAAACTTTGGACACGAGACATCTGATTAAGCTAGCTCTTTACCAGCTAAACTATGTGTTAGTTCGTCATGGGCCTATGTTAACATTACCTTATGTTCTTAATATAAGAACTGGTTTGACATTTAATTTGATTCTAAATATAAGATACGAAACTGTTTTGTCTCTCCTATTTATCTATTTTTTTAAAATAATCCTTATAATAGTTATACGTGTTAAAAGTTTGGGAAAATCCCTTAAAAAGACGGTTTAATAACCCAAATCCCCATTTGGGCTATTAAATTTCATTAATTCCTAATTAGGTTGCATAGCCCAAATAAGGATTTAAAAATTTAATAAAATTACTGTAATGTCCTTTTATTATAAACCTAAAGAGATGTATATTATTTATCACTCCTGCCTAACGTAAGAGTTCTGAAGGAGCGAACTTGACGTCTATCATTCCAAAGTCGAAAAATCAAACAAGAAAGCAAAGGTAAGTTAGTTTTTTATATTAAGTCTTTTCATCTTAATCCTGAAAATTTCATCATGCTATCTTGGTCCTTCCTTTTCTTAGTATGGATTGTGGGCGATGGGGTTTTTGTAGGGGAGGAAGGAAAATTTGCCGTACAATAAGAAGTGCATCATAAAAATAGCTAAATGAGAGTACGGAGTGTTGCTTTTAGGATGAGTAGGAAGGTTGATGTATCTGTGTGATGCAGCGTTTACAATGAATAGATATGCATGATGACTGATTATATTTGCTTGATCATAAAAGTTTAATAGAAAAATGCTATGAGGGTTGTGTATGTTGTTAATAGCTAAGTATAACGTGTTAAAACATGATTTGAAGTTGTTAAAATTTGAAGGTGGATTATGTTATGTTATTGTAAGAAGTGATCATGATCATAACTATAAGGGCTATGTTTTATGTCAATAGCTAAGTGAAATGTGTTAAAATCTAAGTTGAAGTTAATAAATTTTGAAGGTAGGTTCTGTTATATTGATTGTAAAAGGTGGAAATTATCATGGTTATGAGAGACACATTAGTGCTAATAGCTAAGTGAAACATGTTAAGATCTAAGTAAAAGTTGTTAATTTCAGAAGCCATATTCTATTTTGTTGATTGAAAAAAATTTATATTATATTTTGTTAATCGAAAAAATTGATAATGATTATGACTAGTTAGTAGTCCCTTTTTTATTGCAGGTTGGCATAAAAAATGGCATCTACTTCAGGATTAACATTAGCAAAAGGATTATTTTGTTATTTTCATGTTGGTGGACAATTTGTCAAGAATCTTGAAGGTGAAATTCAATATGATGGGGGGAGTGTTAGGGTAAGAAACATAAGAGAGGGTATGACACTTGAAGAAATGAGAGTATTGGAAATGACATTAATAATAGTGAGATGAAATACACAGTGTCTTTTGATCAGAAGACTCTAATAGATCTTGTTGATGATGAGGAACTTGCAAATCTTTTTCAATATAATGAGAGGAGTGGTCATGTCTATATAGCATGTAAAAGGAATGGCAATGCAGAAGAAGCAAGTGGTGATCCACAAATGTAAGTTAGTTGTTTTTCTCAAAAAAATAAGCTGTTATTTGTTAGAATATTCTTGTTAATAAAATAACAAACGTTGTGGTCATATAATGCAGCATGCATACAAGCGTGAGGCAGCCAGAACAAAGCTCTTTTTCTCCAAGAAATTTCAATAATGAACCTGAACTTGCATCTCATCAAAATGGTGTTACTTATGAAAGCTGTGGGGGACCTAGTAGCACACCATGTGGAGTACAAAGTGCACCCACACCTTTTCCTGAGTTGAACTCATTGAAATGGAAAGAGATATTTTCAGGCTTATCACAAATCTTTCTGAACGCTGATGCTTTCAAACGGCTGCTACACAAATATAGTATTGCTAATAAGTTTCAATACAAGTTTGTGAGGAATAACAAAGAAAGAATGTCTGTGAAATGTAAAATCGAAGGATGTCCTTGGAAGATAACTGCAAATGCAGTAGGAAAGAATACCCCTTTCCTTCATGTGACGCGATTCAATAATGAGCATGTTCACCATGCACAAGATTGTCTTCAAGTAAACCATGGGGGAAGAGCTGCTCTAACATTATCTATTATTATTGAAGATGTAAGAT